ACCATTATTGGGCAGGAAGACTGCAACCGAGCTTGGATTTACTAAATTAGAAGTTCCAGAACAGTTTGTGAACAGTGTGACTGATTGTGTTGCAAGACATAAAGATTTGTTTCAATGCATTGGAAAACTAAAGGGTTATCAAATGAAGCTGCATATAAACCCACAAGTTCAACCAGTGGCACAGCCTCTTAGGCGGACTGCATTTAGTTTGCGAGGGAAGATCGAAAGGAAACTTGAAGAATTGATTGGTGAAGACATCATCGAGGAAGTTGAAGGGCCGACTCCTTGTGGTGGTGCCAAAAGCAAACGGTGAGGTCCGGTTATGTGTGGATATGCGGTGTGCCAATAAAGCGATCATCAGGGAGAGATACCCAATTCCAATATGTTGACGAAATACTCCAAGATATGAAAGAGGGTGGTGTTTTCAGTAAGCTGGATCTCAAGTGGGGGTATCACCAGATAGAATTAAGTGAAGAATCCAGAAGTATAACAACCTTTGTAACACATAAGGGATTGTTCAGGTACAAGAGGTTGATGTTTGGCATAAGTTCGGCACCAGAGAAATATCAGCAGGTGATTCAACAAGTGCTGCAAGATTGCAGTGGGACAGCCAACATATCACATGACATCATTATTTATGGGTCAGATCAAGCTGAACATGACGAGCGATTGGAGAAGGTGTTGACAAGGCTCGAAGAAAGAGGTTTAACCCTCAATAAAAAAAATGTGTGTTCAAGATGTCGAAGCTTACGTTTATGGGTCTACTCCTCTCAGACCGGGGTATTGGTCCTACAGAAGAAAAAGTCAGAGCAGTCATTGAAGCTCGGGAGCCACAGAATGTAACAGAAGTGAAGAGCTTCCTGGGTTTGGTGAATTTTAATGCAAGGTTTATTCCAGATCTCGCAACCGTTGCAGAGCCAATGAGGAGATTAACGAAGCGTGGAGTGTTTTTGGTCCAGAGCAGAAAAAGTCGTTCAGAGAACTTAAACGTAGACTTGCACTGTAGGCTGAAACTTTGGGTTATTTTGATCGAGATGCGAAGACCAAGATTGTTTGTGATGCGAGCCCGGTTGGACTGGGAGTGATTTTACTGCAAGAGCACAAAGGAGAAGATCGAGTTATTTGTTATTCTAGCAGAGGTCTTATAGAGGTGGAAAGACGATACTCACAGACAGAGAAGGAGGCATTGGCGGTAGTGTGGTCGTGCAAAAGGTTTCATGTTTACTTGTATGGGAAACAGTTTGAACTGTGGACTGACCATAAGCCGTTAGAATGCATCTATTCAGCACGGTCTCGACCATCAGCAAGAAATGAGAGATGGGTTTTGCGGTTACAACCGTATTCATTTACAGTGAAGTACCTGCCGGGGCATCTAAATGTTGCAGATTTATTGTCACGTTTGACAAAGATGACAGAAATAAAATCCAAGAATTTAGCTGAAGAGTATGTCAGTTTCGTTGCGAAAACAGCAGTTCCAACAGCAATGACTTCCAGAGAAATTGAAGAAGCGTCTTCTTGCGATGAAGAGCTAATGACTGTTCGTCAGTGTATCGTAACAGGTAATTGGGACAGTCCCAAGTGTGCCAGTTTTAAGTCTGTTTGTGATGAACTTTGTGTTGTTAGAAACATTATTTTGAGAGGTACACGGATGGTCATACCAAAGAAACGTCGATCAAGATTGATTAAGTTAGGCCACGAGGGCCATCAAGGTATTCTCAAGATGAAACAAAGATTGCGTACGAAAGTATGACGGCCAGAACACCGCGGAAAAATGTCTGCGCACGCGTAAAAATATCAAAATATGATGGTAAATCTAAATATCAACTTTTGGAACAAAACATCCCATTATTTGATAAAATATAAGTTAAGAAAAGGCAAAAATATACAAGACGGCCAGACAGAACATAAATTAAAAGCCTTCTAGCATTTAGAGTATCGAACGAACCGGAATTCACGGTAAATTTTCCTTTTTTTACGGGGTGGCTCTAGAATATTTTTCGAAAACAAAAGTTTAAACCTAAAAGTTAAGAAAACCCGCGGAAAGTTAAGCTTTCTAATCTATTTAAATTGTAAAATACATCTTAATCTTCAATCATGGAAAACACGCAAACGTCTCGTATCTGGCGACATTTTTTTTTTAATAAAACGTGTCTCAATTAAAAGTTCGGAAACTGTCGTTGCTTATTTGATAAACAAAATGTTTGAGACGAAAAATTTGTTAACAGTCACCTTTTACCGGTGTTTTTGTCGGATGCCACTTCTAAGACTCTCTGGACGTTTTTTCTCTTAGTTTCTATAATGCAGTGTTTATTTATGCCCTCGAAATATGGATTTGAAGACACGAATGAAATCACTCCTTTTTACCGCCATTTTTAGCCTTCGGAAACGTTCGGAACCGCTTCTTAATTATTTTTAATCTCACTTACAGGCAGAGTTGACGCGTGCGCAGACGTTTTTCCGCGGTATTGGCGGCCAGGGATTGACAAGAAGCTGAAATGTTCTGTAAAACGTGTCATGCGTGCCAGGTTGTAAGCAGGCTCGTTAGTCCAGAGCCATTGCGAATGGCAGAGTTATCTCGTGGACCATGGCAGGATATCACGATTGATTTCATGGGTCCATTGCCTTCAGGCGAATATGTTTTTGCTGTAACCGATTACTATAGTCGATACGTGGAGGTGACTATTGCGAAGAAGAATACGGCTGAAGTAGCGATTGCCAGTTTGGAAAGCATGTTTGCAACACCTAGACTACCGTGAACAGTGACTAGTGATAATGGGCCTCATTTTATTGCAGAGACATTCGAGTCATTCCTGCGAGATAACGGAATCGAACATCGGAAGACGACGCTGTTGTGGCCCCAAACGAACAGAGAGATTGAACGCCAGAATAGGTCTCTACCCAGGAAGATGCAAATTGCAAGAGTGGAAGGAGAAAATTGAAAGAAAGCTGTGCAAATGTACTTAATTGCATATCGGAATACGCCTCATCCAACGACAGGAATGTGTCCAGCTTAACTGATGTTTAGAAGAAAATTGAGAACTAAACTTCCAGAGCTAAGAGAAGAGGTTAGATCATGGCGAGAAATTTTGGACACGCACAGGGGGGTTCTAATTTATTCTAACGAATAAATTGTTCTAATTTATTCTAACGAATCACAAGTGAAATACACACGATATATCACATTCTAAATACCCAAAAATGCGACAAAAAAGTTCGAATATGCCTTAAAACCATGGCAACAAGTCAAGGCTTGGTTGCCTAGCAAATATGGACGATGAAAAACAATTTCAGTTATTTTTTGAAGAGTTTTTTGGGGAAAAAGGTCAGTTTTGATGAAAATATAACGTTGAAATTTGCTGATTTTGAAATTAAAAACCGCAAGAGATATATATTCTTCACATTTTTGCACTGATGGGTGTTCAAAATCATCGCTCGGAGTTTAGAAAACCGATAGAGCATTTTGGTTATCGTGGCCCGATCGCGCGAAAATCTTACAAGTTCAACGGTCAAAACAACTTTCGACGCTATAAATGGTGTTTTTCTATACTTTAATAGCCGTTAGCTATTTCCTGCAAAACCGCAAGAAGTATTAACATCTAAATAGATATCAAAATATGATATCAAAATATCAAGTTTTACGTCTAAAAACAGAATCAGATAGAACATTTTCACATTTTTAAAAAGTTTAGAGGTAAGGCCACATTTTTAATATAACCCTAATAAAGCCGTGTGATTTCGCGTGGCCATATTGTTTCGAATCTCCCGAAGTCTGTGTATCTACCGCGCGTGCGTGTCCAAAATTTCTCGCCATGTTGGATGAAGAAGTGCGAGAAAAAGATAGAGAGAAAAGGGAGAAGATAAAAGGTTATGCTGACAAAAGAAGGAGTTTCTTTCTGTTTTTCATACACACGAACTGTTACCGTCTGGAAAAGTGAATTCGTAAAACAATATTCCCGCGCAAAGAGTTGAAAATTTTGTCTTTTTTATGTAAGAATACATATTTAACTAATTAATAAAATGCCTCTTAAATTTGTTGTAATTTATGACATTAAGAAGGTATCAACCTTTTATGACACCAATGACAATAATACCGCAAAAAACCCTAATTAATGCATTGCTCTCTCTTCACAATGTGACACCAGTTAACGCACAGATTCTTCACACTCTCAAAAACACAAAATCTAACCTACTATCCCTTTAAGCTTTATTCCTTTAAATATAGAAAGCCAATGCTAAATAATGGTCTAAAATCGTCAAAAGAACTCCTGGCCGTTATATACAAAAAAAAGAACATGAGTTGTTAATAGTATGTAGTGTTACACTATGACGTCATCTCTTCTTGTCTCTTTGTATGTATAATATGCTTGCAAATAATCAATTATAGTTTGACAATGACTTTGAAATAAAATCGAAATATCAATTTAAAATTTAAAAATTAATTCTTATCTTGTTCTCTATAGCTCATATTTTGAGTTTACAAGATGTCATTTTTCACATGTTCATTCTTGGCTGACAAAAGTAAGGACGTATAGGACAATATCGCACTGATGATCGTATGTACATTGCTTCAATGCCCAAACACATATATAGAGGCTGTAATAAAAGTTCAGGGCTGGCAGACAAAATACTGAACCCTAAAAACGACCGTTATATACAAGGCATTGACTCGGAAGAGTTTAATACTCAAATGTTTTCTGTTTGATGCGGCAGAGAGACGTGTGATGTTATATTCACTTTTTTAAATATATTTGCCTCCGAATAACATATATCATCTATCGACGCATTTAAGTCATGTCATATATTACAAGTTTAGATTTGGCTAGTTCCGCGCGACGGCTTACTCAGTACTGCAATGTTATCCGCATAATTATTCTTCGTTAAACTTGAATAGGTTCGAGCTATTAGTTATAATTCCCCTTAATTATACAGTGAAATCTATAAGTTTATATACAAACAATGTCGGAATAAAAACCTCTTTTAAATAATACAAAAATATCTACCTGGGTTGCTCCACGGACTGACACATTGAACTACAAACCGAAGACACAAAAACATCATTCACAGTTTCAGCCGTTGCTTCATCCCATGTTTTTTCGATAGCCTCTCCTTCGACTTTCTCGACAAATTTTAATTTTGCAACGAGTTTAAGACAACCCACTCCAATCATCTTAACTCCTGCACCAATTGCAGCTCCCGCTAATGCATTTTTTCCAATATGTGCTAACTTTTTTTTCTTACCATCAACTAAAATTGAATCCATGTCATTCGATACAGACGCAAGTGCACCATTAATCGATCCTGACGCTGCTCCGCTCGCAATAAGATCACTGACAGCAGCTTCAGCAATAGCAACAGCGGTGTTTCCTGTCCCTATTATAGCCATTGTCACTCCTGCTGTTGCAATACCACCAATGGCACCCAAAGCCGCCCCTATTCCAAAACTTTTCGCGTATTTCTTCAGTTCTACTCCATTTTTGATTGAGTCGTAACTGATCGTTCTAAAGGCACCTTGGATTGACCCTCCAATCAACCCGCCCGCGATTATGTTACCGACGATAAGAATTGGAAGGCCCAATCCACCAGTCAATACTGTTATAGCTACGCCTCCTACAACACACACTGCGCTGAACAACAAAAGACCAACTCTTTTAAGACCTTCGTGTCTACCGTGAGCTTCAGGTTTAAATATAGCTTTCCAACGCGATTTAGATAACCAACCGCCGCTGTAGTCTGTTAGGTGGTAGCTTGCTCTCTTTTCACGATCTCCTAAGATGCTGTAAGCCATAATAATTTCTTGGCATATATGGTTGTCTGCATTTGGATTATGGTCAGGATGAAATATGAGCATTTGTTTATGGTATGCTTTCCTAATCATCTTGTCTTGCTCTTCTGGTGATTGTTTTCGAACATCCTTCATGTCCAGTTTCAAGATTGCGTACAGGTTTCTCCCCATTTTCTCAGATGTTTCATCTTCCAAGTTCTTTCTCCTAACGCAAATTTGCCACTCTCTAGGATAATTAATCAGATCGTGTTCATTAACTTTAAAGTCTTGATCACCTTCTTCAAGCATTATTAACTTATTATCCACACATTTTTTAACAGGAAAAGTTTTGTATATCTGATCTGTTTCTTTCTTCGAGCGTATCTTATACGAGAACGTTTTTTATCCCTATAAAAGAATTGCTTCTGACTTTCAATGACTTCCGTTTTTAGGGGTAACCAGCATAATTTATATTTAGAGTAGATATCGAGAAGAACAGTTGCGTCTTTTGTTTTATTTTGTATCAGAATTGCTTTGTACTCAGGATCAGGAGTTGTAAAGGAAGTCGATAACTGGATATTACCTAGAAATTGGAAAATATTATTGTCAAGTGATATTGTAGATCGATTGTCTCGTATCGAGCTAAAACGTTTAATTTCTTTCTAATCACATAATCATGATACATTGCCCTTTCCCAGGAAAACGTGGGTTAATAACCGACGAAAAGAGCGCCTAAATGCAGGAAAAGCAGAATTTATTTCATAGTATATTAAATGAAGTTTTTTAAATTGTGAAACAATATATAATCACTCATCAGCTGAATAAAAAATAAATTTTTGATTCATCTTCAACAGTTATGCAAGAGAATTGTTTTGAAATATAGAGTTTGTATTAAAACTTAATGTGTTAGAATATGCATTCTTTAATTCGGAATAAGATTTATTTTATATTATTGAAAAGTTTTAAGTGCAATTGAATTATTTCAGTATAGTTCATCACTCATTCTCACATAAATCCCATTATATGCATATACTGAAGTAATAGTTGTAGACATGGAAAAAAGGGAGTTTTAATTATGATTATATATATATATATATATATATATATATATATATATATATAAATATATATATAATAAATATATATTATATATATATATATATATATATATATATATATATACACCCATTTGCAAAAACGTTGGCCGCAGATAGATAGATATATAGATACTCGAAGTCTAATTAGAATTGCATATGAATATATTTGCATGGGATTTCAATCATATTACACAACATATGCAATTCTAATTAGATTTCGGGTATCTATCTATATATCTATCTGCGGCCAACGATTTTGCAAACGGGTATATACATACATATATATATTATATATATATATATATATAATATATATATATAATATATATATAATATATAAAATATAATATATATATAATATATATATATATATATATACAATAAAAGAAACAGGGGCCACACTAGGAGAAAAATCTCAAAAAAATGCATGACTATATATATACATCGACAAATATATTTAGGCTAAGCCCTGAAAAGTCTGATTATCATGTACCCCCACCTTTTTGGAAAAATGCAATTGATAGTTTGATACCAATCTGCTAAACAGTGCTAATCCCCCACCCATATAGCAAGTTGGCAAGGAAATCTCCCACCATGCTCCATATGTCTATATTTTTTCGTGGTATGCATGGGGATTCCTGACAGGTGCATAATACACAGGTAAAAGTGCGCGAGCTATTTGTGTTTGTGATAGGTTGATATCAATGTGCTTGAGCAAGGTCAGATGTCAGTGACATGTTATTAAACAGGATGCAGCACAACATTTAACCGCAACAACTATATCAACCAGTAACAAACTGATTAAATTTTAGTTGTATAGACAGTTTTTGTTACAATTAGGTCATATATATGTAAAAGCTCAGAAAAATAATTAATTAGCATAGGATATAAATTATATGCTTGTTTACCTAAAACACAAGAAGACTGACTGGAAAAATTATACAATCACATAATAAGATTTATAACGATATTATTGGTTCGTTCCAATATAACCAGGGAGCAGCGTGGCAGCGTCTTCAAACAAATTAGCATCAAATGATGGCCTTCGTCAGGAGAGTTACTATAGCATTCTCATTACCTATTCAACCGTACGCGGATGGATAGAGTTCTGGGTCAGAAATCTGCGAACGGCTGAAGGGTACAATCTGAAAACGGGGATTACTGGGCTTTCTCCCTAATCGACCGGCTTTCAACTTTCTGCCGCGTTATAGCTTGTTTGCGACAGTTTACATGAGGCGTCGCCCTCGTTATTTCTCCCCTTCTCATTTTGCCTAATTTTTCCTAGATAATGTGAATAGTATGAAAATAAATAGGGGAGAATGAATGTTTTGTATGGGAGCAAAACACGTGATAAAAATGGGCCAATAAAAACAAAAAATCAAAACAAATTGGAATATATTACATTGCCAAAGATGCGCCTGATTGTGGGCTAAGAATATCCCGCAACGAGGGAAGCCTGATCAGCAACGAAAATATATTACAACCTGCTTTGATGTAAACAAAGAAATGGAAGTCATAAAACTCTGGGTAAAGAGCTAGCTAATGAACAATATCCGTAAAGGACAAGAAGCGCGACTCATTAAGTCCCTCCGGCATTAAGCTCATTCATCCAGAGTATAATCACTTCCATTTCTTTCTTTCCATTTCTTTGTTTACATCATATATTGTAATATATTTGGTTGCTGATCAGGGGTCTCTCATTGCGGGTTATTCTTAGCCCGTCAGGCGTCCCTTTGGCAACGTAATGTATTCCAGCTAGTTTTGATTTTTTGTTTTCTATTGGCCCATTTGTATATATCACGTATTTGCCGCCATACAAAACATACATTCTCCCCTATTTATTTCTATACTAACTCTCCTGACGAAAGCCCTCAGGTCTAAACGTCGAGAAATGTTTCGTCTATTTCAGGCAGTTGTTATACCACATTTGATGCTAAGTTACTATATTATTGTATGTAACAGTTACCAGTGGTAAATATTATTGAAGACAGTTATTACGTATAATCACTATATCATCTTATCACCATTTATTATTATATTCATATAACCATATAGCATTCTCTTCGGTCAGGCTTACATGAATGAGTATAAGCATATAGCTATCCACACCTTAGCTTATCCCACAAACACGTAACAAGATGTCAACCACAAACCACGATAGCATGCATGTGCTACAACGCACTGTAATGCGTATAGCATTCTTCGTAAGGCTTCCGTGCCTAAATATATACTGTAAAAGCAAAAGTAATAAACAAAAGGAGTTAAAGTTGACGATAAGACTTGTGCTCAGACAGAGATAAGTCAAACATATAAGCTTATTATAGAGACGTTAATTCCCGTTATTGTAGTTATATAAATATAATTGACACACTGAGTTTGTTGCGAAACAGAATCATGCATGCAACAGCGAGTATTAATAAAGTTTATAGGACCGCGCTCGTAACACTGTGAACCAGTGGCGGATCTAGGGGTGTGCAGAATAATTTACACAGCTTCATTTAAAAATCAAATCACCTTAATAACAACGCTATTGGTTATAGATTTGAAAAGAGTATTTTTACATTAAAATTTGGCAATTCGATTGCGATTTTAAGCAGTCATAATTTCTGCTCACCCCTAGATCCGCCACTGCTGCGAGCAATTTGGACAGCGAATAAAAAAACTATCGTCAATCCTAATCCTGTTATATTGTTCAACTTCATGTAATATAGAATGAAATGAACCGTGCCTTTCCTGTATGGTTCCTGGTTAAAACTCTTTATGGACAGGTCCTATGTTTGGGTGTCATAGAAGGGACCCTAGCTTAAATTGAATATCTCCGCAAGTATTTAAGCTAAAGATACCGGAATACCACCAAATGATAGCGGTTGAAGAGATCATATAAATGCTATATTCAAATCCGCAGATAGTTTTAAGCCGCACTTGTAATATAAGCCAAAATAGTAGCTTGCGTTGTTATCTCAAATTACATGCCCATGGCAACCATATACTTTTCAAAATTCCATGTTTGTCAATTTATTTTGTTCTCTGTTAGCTTTAGACTGTCTCAATTTTGCCTATTATCCATTCTGTTATAACTTCGATGTATTTTTAGATTAGGATGTGCTAGAGAATCGGAGAAATAAGCCATTTTAAGAGCTAAGCGATGAGCCTTGATGAGCGTTGCTAAGCGCGTGTTTAGCGCTTGCTCGGAATGTTGTCACGCGGTTCAAAAATGTGACAAAAGTCTGTGATGCCCACCCCTAGGCAAATTTTGACCCCAAAAATCGATTCCTGGCGTAAAATTGGACCAGGGGGTCCGTTTTTCGGCTTTTTTTGCCCGAAATTTTTGGTGAATCTTTTTATTATTGTGAAATGCTTTCCGTGAGCGATGCGATAATACATACCATAATGCAGATTATGAATGTTTATGTAAAAAATCGGCAAAAATCTTCTAAAGGCACCATTTTGAAGCTAAATATATCAAAATGATCCTAGAAATGTGAACTAAATCACGGTAACCAGTTTTCGTTTGCGTTTTGGGCAATATTCTAAGGATTAGGCCGCTTTGAGGTATAATATCGAAAATTAGCCAAATCGCATGCATTCTAAAGCAAATATCCTAGCGAATTTGAAACATATAGAACTAAAAAAAAACATCTATCTACTGAGGACAATGTCCTCTTTTAAATGGTTTAATTTTTATTAAAATCAGCCAAGTATTTGCACAGAAAATGCAAGTTAAAGTGAGCCAACCATTTTTAAAGGTCATCTGATCAGCTGACAAATTAATTAAAGTGCCTATATCACTTGTGAGATCTTTACAGATTTGAATAGAGCTTGAAAAATTAGTTTATAAGTTCTACAACCCTTTTTGATAAAGTTAAATACATTCGGAAATCTTTACATCTAAACATGACGATTTGCCTAAATTTCCGTCGGCTCGGGGCCTGGAACTCAGGAACCGAGTTCTTTGTAATTTTACTTCAATCTTCCAATAACGTAAAATATTTTGAGAAAAACTCGCCCAGTTGCTACAGCCATACACAACGCACCGTTCCCGCATTTTTTCTTGAAAAGCGCAAACTATATCGCCAGTGAAACTCTTCATGTTTACATTATAAAAGACGGCGTGTTTGCAAATCATTCCTGAGTCCCAGTCCCCCCCAACCGACGTATTTTCGAAACTATTTAATTATATATAATTATAAAAAATGGTTGTAGACTTATAAA